GAGGCAGAGGCAGGCAGATATCTGTGAGTTCGAAACCAGCCTAGTCTATAAGAACTAGTTCCAGAACAGGCTCCAAAGCAACACAGAGAAATCCTGTCTCAAAATCAAAACAAAAAAAAAAATCCCTCTTCATTTGGCAATGTTCATTTGGAGAACAGCCACAATTCCACCACAAACAAGAAGATACAGAAATTATTTCCTAGGTAGTTATAACATTGTGGTGTTTATTTGTCTTTTCCCCTTCTGTGCAATAAAATAAGAAGGGGAAGATACATCACAGAAATTTTCATGCAGTTAAATACAGAAAAATATTGCCAATAGTTCACTCAATTGTATTTATTTTGTGCATATGTAACTTTGCTTATTTGTAAAATTCAAAAAGCCCATTGATTTAGGGACTATTATGGCCATTAGAATGATTTTTGAGAAATTAACTTGAATTTGGGAAGTTGAGTCCTGAAAGAAACCAGAACTGAAATACTTCTGAATTTCCCTAAAACTTAGCCACAAAACATCTCAAAAGCTATATAGGTCTCAGAAAATGGTCTGCTAACAGCATTTACATTTGGCATCTCATTATTCCTGATTGCATCTTTCAATATGCTGAAATCTTTCTTTATTTAGAAAGCATCCTCAGGGACCCAGTTTGGTCCATCCAGTTAATGAACGTGCAGAGCCCATGCTAATGCAAGACCTGGGAACCTTCTCCCTAGAGTTGTTCCTTGCCTTCATCTCTAGAGCCAAAGGCTGTGTGAGCCACACTGTTATTTCCCCAGTGCCCAAGAATGATGCCTCCTGGTGGGGGGGGGGGGGCTGTGCTGTCCTAGCCCTCCAGATACCCATGTGTCTTTTCCTCTTCAATGAAATTCTTTTTTTTTTAAGATTTATTTATTTATTTATTAAAATATACAATATTCTGCTTGTATGTATCCCTGCGGGCCAGAAGAGGGCACTAGATTTCATTACAGATGGTTATGAGCCACCATGTGGTTGCTGGGAACTGAACTCAGGACCTCTAGAAGAGAAGCCAGCGCTCTTATCCTCTGAGCCATCTCTCCAGCCCCAGAGAAATTCTTGAAAGCAAACATCCTTTTACTTGATGATGCACTCCTAGCATGGAGTACATACATCTGAACATCAGTATCCTGTAGTGAGATAAACCCATTTTGTAAAAGAGAAAACTAAACCTTGAAAATGAATAAATATGCCATTCCCAACATCATACATTAATAAGTAAGTAGTATGCCAGCCTGGCCTCATCAGAGCTCTCTTCCCTAGACTACCATGCCACACCCCTCCACGAGCGATAGGAGGACTAAAGCAAAGATCTTAGATGTGTCCCAGGAACCTGGACTTCAACAAAACCCGCAGCCCCCACCTTCTTGAACAAACACATCCAATCAGCTGTCTCTTTCTCCATAAAAGTCACCTGGATTGCTTAAAATGAAAAATGCAAGCCGTATTCTACTTTTTCTTCCTGTTCTCACATCTAGTCAAACAACTCATTCATGCGATTATAATGTTCAAACCTACGTGTCTCTCTAGTCTCCACCACGAGTCAAGCATCATCATCCATCACCAAGACTTCAGAGGTACCAGCTACTCAATCTCCAGATTCAACTTGGTCAAACTTTCATCCAGTTTCTTCTCTGCCTTTTAAAAATGTTCATTATTTATTACTGCTGTGTGTGTGTGCGCGCACACAGCCTTGAGCTCTCGAGCATCTTCTTATACAATAGCACACATGGACATCAGAGGACATCTTTCGGGAGTCAGTCTTCTCTTTCCTCCATGGGTTTGAGGGAATTACTCAGGTCCTCAGGCATATATAGCAAGTGCTTTTTACCCACGGAGCCATCCTCTTAACCCTACGGTGTATTAAATACAATTTCATACATGGCATTCATCTAGCTAGTTAAAGCACTTCCTAAATTCCCATTACCCTGAGGATGAAGACCAAAATCACCTTGTCATTCAAAACTGCCCAGGCTCCAGCCTCTCCCATCTCTTCCAGCTCCTTCATTCTACTCCCTGTCTCTTACTCTTCTCTTTGTGTGCTGAACATGCTGTTCCTCTGCCTGCCAAAAAACCTATTTGCCCTACTCTAAGCAACTCCCATTATTACTTCCTGACCACTCAGATCCCTTTTTAAATGCCACTTCCCACAGGAAACTAGCCCAGGTTGCTCCAGAAGAGCAACAGTCATATTGGGAACTCCCATTCCATCTCCAATTCAATCACCAGGAAGAATGGTACATCTCTCCTGGAACAGTTCGGGGCAGGGGTAACATCTCTTCATTGATGGACCTTGGTGCTTATCACACAATACATGCTCATTTGATCTTTGCTGTCAGATTAAGTTCCAGGCTTTATCATGGAGGGTTTTAACAACAGGCCAAGCAAACCAAGAAGCAAGCGCTGGTTTCCCTTTGCAGATCTACATCCTGAGGCAGAAAGAAATTTCCAGCTCTTGAAAGTCATAGGACAGCAGGGATAGAGCCAAATCAAATCCTCCATTCATCTCATTTCTCGTCCCTAGGTCACTAAAACCCCCAGTGGGGGGGGGGGCATGGCAGGAGAAGGGAATTAGTAATGCAAGGTGGTACAAAATAAGTCCCACCCACCTGTCACAAAGGCTGACTTCAAATGGACGTGGGACTTTGCGTGCCTGAAGAAACACGACCGTTAAGTAAAGAGACACAGCTGCCACCACACCCAGCTCCCGGGGAGAGCAGCAGAAAACAACAAACTTCTCTCCTCCACAAAGAAGACAAAATGGCAGGAACTGCAACTACCTTCGGAAACCCAAATGCAGGTTTGCTACTCACACCGTCACTAGCGGCGTGCTAAGGGACAGGCTCTCTTCCCACTGTTCACTGGAACAGGGATAAGAAACAAAAAGCCTACATGAATCAGAAACTACTTAAGACTACTTCCTTTGGGAATCATGTATGAATTATCTGTGTGAAGCCTTAAAAGAAATTGTTAAGCCATGGGCACTTCTTAGCAGGTGCCACGGAAAGGGAAGATACAAGAGCTCCATAGCTGCATGTCCTTGTCCACATGCTCCTGGGGCCAGGGTTATGTCCGTCAGGAAAACCCCAACCCCCAGCCCGGGATCAGGCTCGTTGCTGTCATCCTTGCAAGCACAGATTCCAAGAAAAAGAAGCCTCAGGACCTCTTCAAAGAGGGCTCTGAATAACGTGACACAGAGCCTACTTCCTCTAACCCCAGGGTTCCTTGGGGGGTGGGGAGTGGAAAGAGTGTTAGAAAAAAGAGATGTGCTACTCTCCTGGCCCGGGGGAGATCCTGAAACAGAGGGAAAACCAGCATGCATTGCAAATAGACTGGGAAAGAAATGGGATTTGAAGAGATGTGAGCGGGGTAGGGAGAGAAAGAAAGGCGCAGAAGGGAAGGGCAGGATGTCACCACAAAGATGTTGGAAGAGGCAACAGACTGGTGATCTTTTCCCAAATCCAAAAGCTGCTCGAGCATGCCAATAAACCACTCTACTTAGAAAGCCCGTACAATGGACAGTCCTTTCCATGAATGGAACACGCAACATTTTACAAGTCACCCAGCTGCAACTTTGGAGACCTGAGCATCTAAATTAAAAATGAATAAAAGTAGTTCAAAGAAGCTAAAGGAATGACACCACCCCGCCCGCCCCCCTCCCAGCCCCAAAGCCTGACTCAGCTGTGGAAAGCTTTAGCATTTTGGAGTTAAGCAAATACTCTGGCATTTCTCCTTCTTTTGACATTCCTAAAGGGGGTGTGGTTGACCCTAAGCCCATTCATTTCCAAGGTTGTATATCTCTCAGCTAAGACTGGCCCCATCTGTTTTGGAGCCAGCCAGCTGTTTATCTCAAAGGAACATATTTATTGCAGTGTCCAAGCCTGTAACTCTTAGAAGAGGAAAGCCAGCATCATACAAGCCAGAATGTGGCCTGCCTTCTTAAATGTGTCAGTTCGCTGAAAAACAAAAAGCACACTCGCACGGTCCCTGGTTGCCCTGGTCAGGCTCCCTGTTCTTGGATACCTTTCAGGTATGGCCAGTAAAGGGTGACAGTACGTCTAACTTTTCCTTTCCCTAAAGTGTTAAAAAGAAAAAAAAAGTACCCAGGTTTTCCGATTCCGTCTACAAACCGTTAAGTGTGAGTGGCGACTGAGCCTCGGAAAACGGCAGCTCGCTACAGTACCATCGTCAGTGGCGAGAGCCTATCGCGATGTAATTTAAAACACTCACACAAGCACAAATCTATCAGCTCCACTTCCAAACAATCCTGAATCCCGCAGTCGAAAAAATGGGAGGGAAAAAAAAAACTTAACAAAAATGCTGCTTCTAGCAGCCTAAGAAAAACCTTCCCTAGACACGTGAAATATTTCTGACTGGCACGGAGTGCACCATTAGAGGACACTGTCACCTCAAATCAGCAGGAAAAAAAAGCGAGACAAACGACACAGACATGCAAACATAAAATAAAGCCCTATGAAACTTAAGCGACTCAAGAGAAGCGTGCTCATCTTTAAAAAAAAAAAAAAAACAGTGTATGCTACTCCAAGACACACAAATGTCCTAAAGAAGTATGACCACCTTAAATCACTGTCTCCATTTTTCCCACACACATCACCATTTCCCACTCAAACCTCAGCACAGGGGCCGGGGAATGACAGGACTGCAGTCCGCCACCTTTGCCCTCCTCATGGTTTCCAAGTGCACTTCCCAACATCCTTGCCAGCCCAGCCCCCTCTCCCAGCCTCAAAAAGGTTAAAGGGAGGCGAGGAAATTGGCAGGCACCAGTCCTCTGGCGGGGGCAGGTTGCTGGAGTTGTTCTTTGCAGTGACCCAAATTGCACAGAGCGATTTAGCTCTGAGCAGCGCCAGTGAGAACCTCCCGAATCCATAGCCCCATTCCCGGCCCCATCTTCCAAAAGAAAGCCTTGAGCATTAAGCGGGAGGAATAACTTGGGAGAACGATTTGAATAAATCACTTCAACTCACCTGGTTTGGGATTTTTCTCCCCACCCCAGGCATAAACAGAAATGATATGCGACTGAGTCACGCACGTAAGGGAAGGTGCTGCGGTGTCCTAAGTCCAAGGACTGGAGTCAGTCCCTGCCCTGGTCCTGCTGCTACTCAGGGCTCAGCTGGAGCGAGCGGCAATAGCGAGCCCAGCAGCAGCAACAGCAGCAGCAGCAGCAGTAGGGGGGGTGGGGGGTGGATAGACCGTAGCACAATGAATGCAGTGGGGTTTTGCAATGACATCATCCCTCTGTCCGAGCGGCCCCAATAGCCATGCTCCAGAGCTGTGCATTCTGGGACCTGTAGTCCTCTGAAGTCCGTGAGGGACGCAGAGGCTACAGCCGGAACTACAATGCCCAGGATGCCTCGGTCGGAGCACCCAGACTGAGAGAGACCGGACCGGCCGCCATGTTGAAGCTCGGGAGCTGCTGCGGGCTGAGGCTTCGGGGGCTCGTGGAGCTGAGAGGCGGCGTGGTGAGAATGGTGAGGCAGAGGACGTGGGGGTTGATAGCCTCGAGCACTGGCTGGGACTGGATGAAGACTCCGCTGGGGATGGACAGGGCTGTCGGGCCGGAGATGGCCTCGCGAGTCGGCGTGAGCCTCCACCAGCCGGGCTTGCACAGGGCCTCATGCCTTTCCCTCAGCTTTTTTTACCGGGAGACCCAGGGAGCCGCTTCACTTCCGGGCATGGAAGACCCCTTAGACCGCGTAGCGGGACAGTCTGGGCGGAAGGGGTCTTTGTTGTGCTACGGGACGACGGGCCTCGCGCCTCTGAGAAGAGACGCCCTCTTGCACCCGACGATTGGAGCAAAACCTAGATTGATTTTTTTTTTGTCGTCTTGCCAATTTTTCCCCTCATTTCCCCCATGCCCTTTTCCTCAGATGTGACCACCCCCACCACATACACACACACACACACACACACACACACACACACACACACACACACACCGAATCGTCATCCCGTAATGATTTTCAAAGGGCTTTAGAGAAGTCGTTGGTAGATAACTGAGCGCGAAGGATCGTATTTTTGGCCCTAATGAGAAGAAAGGAGCTACCAAAAGAAGTTAGCGTCAAATCTTTCTTAACCCACCCGCGAAAGTGAGCAGTCTTACTCAGGACTAATGCTGAGTGAAATATGCTAAAATACGTAGGCTATTCGGTGTTGGTAACCATGGATACCTATCTTGCCTTTTTTTTTGTTTGCTTATACTAACAAAATTATGCAAAATAATGTATTTCGTTGTGACGTACTCACACAGATAACGTTAGTTAGCGTGTTAACCATCCCCTTCCCTTGCCCACTTGGTACCCACCGTGTATTCAGTGTCTGGCGTATTCCAAACATAAGATTACTTCAAGAACTTTTGAAGCCTTTTGCTCAGCATCCCAAATTATCTGTTTTTCCAGTTGCATAACTAAAGCAGTACTGTGTGCTTGTTTTTCAGATTCTGAAGTTGACTGTGGAAAGATGACAAATTTACTTCGTATATACAGAGAGTCTCTAAAAAGTTAAAAATGCAGATAAGCATAATTTGTGTTGCTTGTTCTCCCTCTCTTTCGCTTTTACTTTGAAAACCGGGTTTTGTGCAGGAGACGTAACTCAGTGATGAGAACTCACCTAGCATACTCAAGGCCCTGGATTGGATCCCCAGGTTTGTTTACATCAGTGAAAGTACACACTATGCCTCTGTTAGAAGTTAATAAAAATTCAGCTGGTCAATAGATCTTCCTTTCAAAAGACCAAGCAGACTGGTTTTTAAATGGACAAAACACAATAGGAGTCAAAGGCATCTGCAAATGGTGGCCATTAAAAACAGTTTGCAAAGATCCAGCTTACGTTCTGTTGTGAGAAGAAGCCAGGGGCGTGGCAAAAGCCATTGTTCCACAAGTTCAACAAGGTAAAAACCTCAAACACTGCTGGTCTGCCCATAATGGTGGTAAGTACTAGAAAGGAAACAGTGTTTACCATTTTTTCTGCCCCTAGATTCAACTGTAGGGTTTAGGCAAATGAATCTTTGTTTTAAAAGACATTTATATGAGCGATATAATCTTAGTTCGGGTTACTGTTGAAGACTGATTTATTGAAGAAAAATCACAGATTGTTTGGAAATACTGTGAAAATGGAACCAGTATATAATGTAGTGGCTTCTATAATTTGTCATGTCATTGAGTGCTTTGAAGTGTTTTAGCTTTATAGATAATGGATATTTAACCATAAATGTGGGGGGGGGGGAAGAAAAACGGTGTATTTTAGAAAGACTCTACAAGTTAAGTCTTAACAGTCACGGGAAAAAAAAATTCTATATTCTTTAGAAACTTAAGAAAAACATTTTACCGGGAAGTACATCTTTCAGACCTCCTCTTTGATTAAGGTAAACGTTTGCCACAGTGTACATTTCCAGAAGTGGACACAGATGGGCACGCCATTTGGATTTAGTTATCGTGGGTTTGGATTTTGTTTGTTTGTTTGTTTGGAAAAATCTTTTAGTTCATTTCAGATAAGAAAACCAACTTTTCATGATTTAGACATTCTTACTTTGCATTGACAACCGTTAGGAAATAAGTCTCAGGTTAGTAGTACCGTAGCTGTTGTGTTTATAACCCTTTGGCATAGGTTTTGCTACTGGATTTCCATATGGCTTAAGGTAAATGCAGCAAATGTCTCAGGGTCAAAATTTAAAGTCTAGCTGGGTAATGATGGTGCACGCCTCTGATACCAACATCAGAGTGGCAGCGGCAGGTGGTGAGTTCAAAGCCACCCTGGTCTACTGAGTGAGTTCCAGGACAGCCAGGGCTGCACAAGGCTACCTTGTCTCTAAAAACCAAAAAAAAAAAAAAAAAGTATAATGACTTCAAGTTAATTTTACTTAACGACTGCCTATCTTATCTTATTTCTCAGATTTTAACAGGTCTGGACAATTGAAGGGGCACTATAGAACATGTGTTTGCAAGAATATATGCTAAAAAACTATGTGTTCATGAACATAGCCATTTCAGGAAATTTAGGTATGCAGAATGTTGTGCTGTAATCAATTATGTAAGTAGGTATGTGTTCATAGGTCTTCATTGGAGATGCTCTCTGTGTGAACTTGCTGTAAAGAGTAATCCTCTAAATTGTATCTCTTTTATAAACAGCTTTATTGAAATGAAATTCACATACGCAGTTTACCTATTTAAAGGGTGTAGTCCAGTGGGTTTTAGTTTGCTCAGAGTTCCAGCCATCAACACACTTAGACAAGAAAACTGTACAAAACCATGAGGAAATCGGTGTGGAAGGATTTGGGCTATACAAAGCTTACTATTGTAAGTAAAGTTGACATACAGAACTTCTCAGTTGCACTACTACAAGTAAATAGCATGTTTCTTGTGTGGAATAAGTGGGCTTTACTAGACTGTTGTGGAGTATAACACTGTCATGGTTGTTAGTCATTAAGAGTGATGCACTGTTTACATTGATGATTGCTTTTTCTGCCTGATTATCACACTGGGCGTTACTTGAGTCCCATGAGAGTTCCATTTTCGGTGTTCATGTTTGTGTATTTGTTTTGTTATTTGATTTTTGTTTGGTTTGGATTTTTGTTTGCTTTTGCTTTTCAAGGAGTAGTCTCTTGTCTAACAGCTGTGGCTGTTCTTGAACTTGCTTTGTGGACCAGGCTGGCCTTGAACTCAGAGACATCCACCTGCCTCTGCTTCCTGAGTGCTGGAATTAAAGGTCTCTGCCACCACCGCCCAGCATTTGTGTCTTTCTAAAATTCTGCTTTCTTTTTATCTGTTTCTTGCTGCTTTTGAGATAAATTCTAAACATTTTTATTTTCAGGTGGCATTGTTTCCCGTGAAGGCTTACTAAATTTTGTTCTTTTTCGTATAAACTGAGTTAACAATGTAGTGAAAAGTCATCAAATTTTAGGCTTTAAGGAATGAAATGTGGAATAGAGAAAAGTAGATGCCAAATAAAGATACGAGGTTTGAATCTGAAAAAAAAAATAGTGGTAGGGACAGGCAGAATTAAAAGAGTTTCTTTAAGATGTTAGAAGCAACAACCTTATTTATTTTTAAAAGGTTTATACGTGCCAGGCGGTGGTGGCGCACGCCTTTAATCTCAGCACTCGGGAGGCAGAGGCAGGTGGATCTCTGTGAGTTCGAGACCAGCCTGGTCTACAGAGCTAGTTCCAGGACAGGCTCCAAAACCACAGAGAAACCCTGTCTCGAAAAAAAAACAAAAAAAGGTTTATACGTATGGGTGTTTTGCCTTCGTGTATGTGCTTGGTACCCATGGAGGTCAGAAGAAGGCGTCAGATTCCCCTTGGAACTAGAGTTATAGGTGGTTTTTCGCCACCATGTGAGTGTTGGGAACTGAAACTGATCCTCTGCAAAAGTAGCAAGTGCTTTTAACCACCGAACTTTCTCTATCTCACAACCTATTCAACCCTGTCTTAGAACCCTCCTAATCATTGCACAGTCATCACTTGCTGAAGAAATTTGAGGACATTTAACTTCCACTCTGCTGAGAGACCCAGCCAAGAAGACAAAGGAGAGGCGCTCTGAAATACTCTTGCAATAATTTTCTGTAATACTCAACATCTGGCTATGGGGCCTCATGGTACTAGCCTCTAATCCCAGTGCCTTTGAGGTAGAAACAGGGAAACTGACTTGGAGCCCAGCCTGGACTGAATAGGGAATTCTGAGTCACCTTGAGTTACATGGTGAATCCCTGTCAAACCATAGAAAAGATTTTCATTGAATTATTTTTCTTTTCATAATTACCATTTTCAGGTCTTGACTGCTTATATAACGTGTGCATTTGGGGGGTGGGGAGTTGTTTTTCCAAGCAGGGTTTCTCCTGGAACTAGCTCTTGTATACCTGGCTGACCTCAAACTCATAGAGATCTGCCTGCCTCTGCCTCCCAAGTGCTGGGATTACAGGTGTGCGCCCCCACCACCTGGCAACTTTTGTGCATTTTTTTTATGATATACAAAAAGCAAGATGATGCAAGCAGTGACCGTGAAGCTTAGTATTGAGTGGTTCCATCCTAAAGGGTGGTGTTTGCTCTTCATGAGTGTATTGTTAATGTACACCAGCCCCAACTGGGATCCTTAGAACCACTATTGGAGAAAGCACTACATGCGTGGTGAATGGGACTGTTCTCTGCGCACCTGTCAATGTCTTATCAGCAGGAGAAATCCATGATGATTGGATTCATTAGATTGCTTACGTGGGAAATGTGTGGTTGTGCAGATAAGAAAAATGCAAAAGGAGAAAAGCAACTGACAGGCAGTATAGGCCTCTGTAGATTTCTTAAATCTATCTCTGACATTTATTAAATTTCACATTGCCTGAAGTCATTCCATTGCTTAGCCTTTTCCTAGAAATTTAATTGAAAGGATAAATGAAAATGAAAAAAAAATACTGTTTGATATAATGAAAAACTTTTAAAAGTAGGAAAGGAAGTTATTCATTACAAAGTCCTGACATGGTAGTCCATCCAGTATGTCCAAATGTAGGTCTATTTGTCCTCACGAGGTCTGTACCTTCTAGTCTGGGTATAACTTGGGTTGTTTCTCAGTAAAGACAATATGGCTGCAGGTTAAATTGTGCTTTAAATAACATGTTTTGAACTACAGAAAAGTTGCAAAGTCATCTAGGTTGACTCCCCAAATCTGAATTTTATGTTCAGACTACTATCTGTTCCTGGCAGTTTTAAGACTGAATCCACCAATCTGCTAATACTTAATCTGTTGGGAGTGAGGGAGACACATTAATAAATGTGACTTGCTTTGAATCTGGAAACCTATGTTCAATGAGCCACTTGGTACCTCACCACGACCTCTTTCATTTTTCACAGACCTGAATCGCTGTGTAGCTCTGGTTGTCCTGGAACTGTCTATGTAAACTAGGCTGGCCCCAAACTCACAGAGATCTATCTTGGCACCATTTTTTCAGCTAAGCTAATTATGGTACCTAATTCATACCTGTGCACTGGTGTAGAACATATTTCAAAGAACTTAAGTAGAAATAAGTTCTTTTGACTGGGTGGTGGCACATGCCTTTAATCCCAATGCACAGGAGGCAGCACAGGTGATATCTGTGAGTTTTGAGGACAGCCTGGTCTACAGAGTTCCAGAACAGAATCCAGAGCTACAGAGAAACCCTGTCTCAAAAAAACTTACCCTCTCCCCCCCCAAAAAATAGTTTTGATGTTTTGAGACTTGGTCTTTCTGTAACCCTGATTGTTATGGAACTTACTGTGTAGATCAGCCTGGCCTCAAACTCAGAGATCTTATCTCTGCTTCCCTAGTGCTAGAGCTAAAGGCATGTACCACCAAGCCTTGCATAAAAATGAGTTCCTAGTGGCTGTCATAGTTGAGGAAAGTAAATGACAGGATTGGCTTAAAAAGCATTTGACACGTGGGAAACATTGGAGATAGTAAAATATGTATGCTCTTTGAGGTCAAACTACAGTTTGTCAAATCGTCAAATCATTTCTACAGCTGTACGTCATGGTGGTGGGTAAGTATGCCTATGAGCACCATTTGTCAGCAGAAAGCTGGTTTTGTTATTTGGTGGAATTTCACCATAGAAAGACAAATCTCAGTTCCATACGGTGTTGGTTTGTTCATGCTGGGCTTTTATTTGTACAAAAATTATATGCCTACTTCATTGAGTTTTCTAGTGAAGAATATAGTCCAACCACATAAGCAAATGTAGCTTAGATATGAAGGGTATATAATTAGGAAATTTTAAATTATGTTTAATTCTTGTATTACTAGAACAGGTATTGAGTAAGAAGCAGCTCTGTAATATTATTGATACTTAAAAGTATTAGTTTTTGGTGGACAGGGTTGAACCATTTGTAAGTTTTTGACTAACAGAGTACAAGGGTGACCTGTGTCCCTCTTAGTCATGAGATAGCCTGTTTCAGAGTCAGGGATCCCTTTTTAAATCTGCAACAGTCCATAGCTCTCTTCAATACAAAAACCTTTTAAATGCATAAGGTACAGTTCATTGAATTAGGAAGAAAGTAATCAAAAATCTTCAAATGTTAATCTTTTTTTGTTTTTCGAGACAGGGTTTCTCTGTGGCTTTGGAGCCTGTCTTGGAACTAGCTCTTGTAGACCAGGCTGGTCTTGAACTTTCAGAGATCCACCTGCCTCTGCCTCCCAAGTGCTGGGATTAAAGGCGTGTGCCACCATCGCCCGGCTCAAATGTTAATCTTTACAAAGAAATACGTTTTATGAGCTCCAAGATACTTAGCAATGCTTCAACCAATATCCAGCAGACGTATTTCAGTCCTTAGGCAGTTATTATAAGGTATCACTTTAATTGGGATAGTCATGATTACTGCTAATACTGTAATTTGTTTACATTTTTTTATATAATAAAAAGTACAAATAAGGTATGGTGACTCATGCCTTTAATCCCATCAGTCAGGAGGCAGAGGCAGGAGAATATTCTAGAGGCCAGCCTAGTCTATAAAGTAAGTTCCAGGACAGCCAGGGCTATTACACAGAGAAATCCTGTCTTGAAAAAAAATAGTGCAAATAAAAAACCATGCGCTGAAATTTACCAAACTGTACATGTGAACTCTATACACTTAGTAATTTTTTTTTAAGAATTTAGTATGTTTTTATTTCCTCTCCTACCAGGTTGTATTCATATATGCAATACCTAGCATATCCAAGGCTGGGGTAGTAGGAGAGACATGAGCCTGAGCTATATAGGCCTTATCTGAAGTACATTATAAGATCTCATCCAATATAATTCAAAATGCTCATAAAATTAATTAAGGGACTGGAGAGATGACTTAGTAAAGAACAATGGCTGCTCTTCCAGAGAACCCAGATTCAGTTCCCTGCACCCACATGGGGGTTCACTGTGGCTGTATATGACATAATGTACAAATACAATGCACATAGTAAAAAAATCTTTTTAAAAATATGCATGAATTTAAGAAATCTTTGTTGGAATAATCCATTTGTTTCTTACAGATTCAGTACAAGTGTCTGGAGAATGTGAGCTTGGCTGTATCTAGTGCACCTGAAGAACTTAGTAACACAAGTAATAGAAGAGCAATATTAGAGAATGTTAAATCCAAGGAGCATCATGGAAACCATACGTAGGATTATTCTGCTCAGTAAGTAAGCACTGGAGTTGTTCCTAATTTGAGACTGTCTTAGCATTCTAAGGTTACATTCTCAACAAAAATAAAATAGTGACATCATACGTATTTAGGTATCTTTTTTATTAACTTGTTACAGGAATTAACCATAGTTTTGAAGTTTAAGCTCAAATCCAGGCCATCCAGGTGACTGAGCAGGTAAACCGAACTTGAGTTTGAGCCCCAAAACCCAAAGGGGAGCTCCTGAAAGCTGTCTTCTGACCTTGTGTCTGCCAGCCTGAACTTCCGCACATACACATTATACACTTAACAATTTTTTTAGAAGTCTACAGAGTTCCAGGACAGGCTCCAAAGCTACACAGAGAAACCCTGTCTCGAAAAACGAAACAAGAACAAGTCTGCCTGGCCATAGAGAAGGTGAGACTACAGCTGGTTGGTTCAACCTAAGGTCCACTGCATAGGAACTCCTGCTCAAGAGGAGCAGAATGAAAGTTACATTCTTGAGTGTTTCAACTCGGCACATATCCCAAAGAGGTGCAGCAACCATTGTCAACAGACTTGGTGACAAGAGTTCTGTTTAAAGCACACCACCTGTGTGATTTCATAAACTTACCAGGCCTTGGGAAATTTGAGTTCAGAGCTGATTTGTAGATCCCAAGATTGTGTCTCAGAAAGCAAATCCTTCTGGCTGGGATTAAAGGTATGTATCATTCCTTGCTTAAAACTGCATATATATGTAGAGTTTAAATGTATTTAAATACTTAAGTTGCAATAATTTTCTCTATTTTTGCCTTCACAGTGTAATCATCCTTCAACTCCAAGGAAAGTAGTTCCAAGTTTTGGAAGTTTGTACTTAATGCCTCACAAATCAACAGTTCTTAATTCTTCCACACAAATGTTTTCACATGCTTGTCCAGAAGAAAATGCAGTTTAGGCAGAAACATTCTTTAGACAAAGAAAATAATAATGATAAAGGCAAAGAATGATTCCCCACTCTTTGATCCACATAGGGAGCCCTAGACCAGTGTCAAATTGGTGTTTGAAGAAGATAGAATATCATTCAACAAGAAAATTGAGCAACTGACAGTAAAAAGACTGATAGTACTTACTGTAAGTGATCCTTAGTAACAAGCACTGATTGCTATGATGCCCGGTGCCGGGGTGGGTGGGCACATTATAATACATACATGGACACTTCCTTTCTGACCTCAAAGATATTGAATGCTGCATTGTTACTGATCCTAATTACATATGATAAAAGACTTATATTTCCCTTTCAGAACATATGGTACTGAAAATACAAAAGATATGTCACATTTTCAGAATAACTTCTGGAGCAAAAGTCTTAAATTGTAGCCCAGGTTAGCCTCAAACTTGGCCATCCATCTGCATTTGCTAGTACTTTTTTAAAAAATAGTTTACTTTTTATGTATATGGAGGATGCCAGAATTCTCCCAGGAATTTAAGGTACTTGAAGTACCCAAAATTTAAGGTACTATGAGACCCAAACTCCAGCCCACTGCTAGAACTGCATTCACTCTTACCCAGTGGACCATCTTGCCAGCTTGAGATCCTACTTTTTATTTTTTACTTTTAGTTCATTCCATCTATATGGTACTACCTTTTTTTCCTTCTTGAGCCCACTTCCACGCAGTCTTTATGACAGATCTCAATTTGCCCAGATTATTTAGAATCTTGTTTCAGCCTTGCAGGAGATGGAATTACAGGCTGCCATACCATTTTAAAAATACTTAGGTGGCAGTACCTGGGAGGAAGATGCGGTGGCTCTCTAAATTCAAGGCCAGCTTCATCTACACGGAGAGTCCCAAAACAGCCAGAGCTGCATAACCTTAAAACAATTTTTTAAAAATCTAGGAACAAAGCCAGGCAGCGGTGGTGCACACCTTTAATCCCAGCACTTAGGAGGCAGAAGCAGGCAGATCTCTGAGTTCGAAACCAGTCTGGTCAACAAGAGCTAGTTCCAGGACAGGCTCCAAAGATACAGAGAAACCCTGTCTCAAAAAAAAAAACACTTGGCCAGGAAATTGTAGTCTGCTAATTGGAAACTAATAGAGGTAGAAAGATTACTTTGAAGATGTATAAAGCCCTCTACAAAAACTGATTGCAATAGCAAAGCAGTTTTGCTTTCTAGCCCCTTTTTCTTTCGCTATAGCATGACTTGTTCACACACTAGCAAGCTGCATGTAGCAGACAGATAGTGTTGAAACACGAATAAGCCCTGCGAGGCAAGTACAGAGTTGTGTAGTTGTTTAATGCACATGTTAAATTACAGAACTGATAGGTTGCTTAATTTTTTTAATTTTTGGCTTATCACATTTTACAATTTGTGAGATTTTTGTGCGAGAGCTTTTTGAGACCAGGAAATGTTATATATTTCTGTCTTTTGGGCGGGATGGGAGACTCAATCCCTGATTCCCAGTGTGACAGAACTAGCTTACAACAAGGACAAGTAGGATTAGGAGGTTGAGATACAGGCATTAGCATTATTGAGATCAGTTAAGAGCATGTGCTCTTGCAGAGATCCCAGTGCCTATATCCAATGTCTCATAACTGCCTGTAATTACAGTTCCAGAAGACCTGACACCCTCTTGCTTCCATGAGCCTCTGCATGCATGTAATACACACGTACTCAGGTGTAAACAAAACTAAATATGTGTTATGTTTGTCATCTACTGAGTACCATGACTCTAAAAATACAGTAACAAGTATATCTTATAAAGATAGGCCTGCAAAATATCTCTAGAAAGAGTAAATGGAAAGGAGTTCTGCTCTCAATTGGTATTTATGTTTTTAAAGCTGAATGCCTGTGTTCCCGGTCCCCACAGAGGTCAAAAAAGGTTGGTAGATTCCCTGGAACTGGAGTTCTGGATGGTTGTAAGCACCCAAATGAGTGCTGGGAAATGAAACCGAGGAGTAGCATGTCCTCTTAACCTATCCCCCAATATCAATTTTGTTTTCTTTGAGACGGTTTCTTTGTCCTAGCTGTCCTGGAACTCTGTTTTTAGACTAGTCTGTCCTTGAACTCACAGAGATCTACCTGCTTCTGCCTCCTGAGTTCTGGGATTAAGGACGTGTACCACCACCGCTTGGCTAATTTTAATTTTGTTTTTATGGCAGGGTTTCTCTGTAGCTTTGGAGTCAGCCCTGGAACTAACTCTTATAGGCCAGTCTGGCTTTGAACTCATAAGAGATCTGCCTGCCTCTGCCTCCTGAATGCTGGGGTTAAAGCATGCATCACCACTGCCCAGCTCCAGCCTTAAAATTTTTTAATGAGGGCTGGGGGGATAGTGTAATGATACCATGCATATGTGCAAGGCTCTGGGTTTGATCTTCAAAATGTTACATCCATTGGCTGGCCTTTAACTCAGATCTACCTGCTTTAGTTTCTTGCATACTGGAATTAAAGCATATGCCACCCAGTCTAATAAGGTTTTCCATTATAGCCCAGCAATATGAAAGAATAGAAGTATCTGCAGTCCTTAATTCTACCATTAATGTTCAACTAATTGTGTAAGTAGAGGGTTCTATGATCAAATTCCACATAACCTTTCCCTCTGCCCTCTTGTCTACTTACATTTGGGAACTTGGGGCTGTAGCTGGTAGTTGGTAGTGTTTGCCTCATATGCACAAAGCCCTGCATTTTGTCTAACCACTGCAATAAATCATACCTGTAACTCTAACAGGACATAAAGACAGGCAAATCGCCTGTCTCTTTCCCTTCTCCCCACTTCCTCCACCTCTGTTTCTCTCTCTATGCTCTTCCCCCTTCTCCCCTTTCCCCTTCCCTTCCATAACCCACTAAATACCCACTTTTCTGCCAAAAAAAAAAAAGCAAATCAGAAGTTCAAAGTCTTCCTCACCTACTTATTGAATTCAGAAGCCAGCCTGAAATCCTGTTGTTCTTGTTGCTGCTTTAAAAAAAAAAAAAAAAAAGGCAGGGGCTGGAGAGATGGCTCAGAGGTGAAGAGCATTGCCTGCTCTTCCAAAGGTCCTGAGTTCAATTCCCAGCAACGACATGGTGGCTCACAACCATCTGTAATGGGGTCTGGTGTCTTCTGGCCCGCAGACATACACACAGACAACACTGTATACATAATAAATATTTTAAAAAAACTGCAGTGGAATGCATCTGGAAACTAAACCATTTTACATTCCCTTCAGAGCTCAATATGTTTTTTGTGCCAAGTGGTTGTGGCACACGCCTTTAATCCCAGCACTCAGGAGGCAGAGGCCAGCAGATCTCTGGGAGTTCGAGGTCAGCCAGGTCCGCAAGAGCTAGTTCCAGGACAGGCTCCAGAGCCACAGAGAATCCCTGTCTCAAAAAAAAAAAAAAAGTTTTTTCAGGAAATATTCTTTGGGTATCCACTAGGTGTCATATAACACAAAGACACCAAGATAAGCAGGTATCCAGTAAGAACCTAAGAGCCTTGCAAAAATAAAAATAGTTATGTAGGTCAAAAGAAAGTTGTATAAGTGCTATACTGTCAGTGGTAGAACAACTAATTTTATACTGTGATCAATATCAAACCAAATGCATGCTGGGCTAAGTTATATAAAAAGGCTTAAAGACAAGTCAGCCTGGTGATGGTGGTGCACGCATTTAGGCAGAGGCAGGTGGATCTCTGAGTTCAAGGCCAGCCTGGTCTACAAAGTGAGTTCCAAGACAACCAGAGCTAAACAGTGAAGTGACTTGATAGTGCTGTGAGTAGGAAGCTGAGAATAATAAACTCAAGTGTCCATGCAGGATGCTGGGAGTAAAACCTACACTTTTTCCTTATTTGGTCCAGTTTTCCTTGCTTAGGAGCTTGAGGCTCTACCCACTCTACTATATTAAATTTTAGTCTTAATTCTCATCTCTTTCCTAGGTCTTGCTACTAATTTGTCCATCCCCTTGTTCATACCAACTTTAACCTTGAATAGATTTTCTGCTTCCAGGGAAATACAAAGGAAAATTTCCAAAGACATCTCCCCAGTAAGCTCCCATCAGTAATGAAATCTCTACCTCTGTAAAGTTACACAGAGCAGTGCTGCACTGTGGCCGTCCCTGAACAAACTGAGGAGCACCGATGGACGATGGAACTCCCTGTTTTGTTTTGTTTGTTGACAAGGTTTCACCCTCTTGTTAATAACGTTCTGTTAATTTTCACAAAGTACAAGTTAGGAAAACACCACCACACTGAAGGTCTGGAGCAGCATCCACAAAAGTCTCATGTGTCAGCCTATAATTTTTATAGTAAAAATCACTTTTTTCAAAAAAAAAAAACATTTAAACATTCCATGTATGTTTATCCATTTTTATTTTCTTAACATAGCATTTCATTAAACAAGTTTCCTTACCATCAACTATTAGATCAATGATCATATTGACTATGATCATTTCCACTGGTTTGCAGGAGGCTCTTCCACTAATATCTCCCATGGCTCCCACTGCAATAATTTTTTTAGTATTTATTTATTTATTATGTATACAATGTTCTGTCTGTGTGTATGTCTGCAGGCCAGAAGAGGGCACCAGACCTCATTACAGATGGTTGTGAGCCATCATGTGTTTGCTGGGAATTGAATTCAGGACCTTTGGAAAAGCAGGCAATGCTCTTAACCACTGAGCTATCTCTCTAGGCCTGCAACAATTTTTTTTATCAGATTTAGTTCACTTCAGCCTAAAAATCACCTCTTTTGCTTGACCACCCTGAAGCATATCTTCTAATTTTTTAACATCTGGTTCTACTTGGTCTGTACCCAATTCTTTTTGCTATTCTGTGTATTTTCCATGAGCTGCAATTTTTAAGGAACTTCTTAAGAACATCAGGAATCGCCGAGCAATGGTGGCGCACGCCTTTAATCCCAACACTCGGGAGGCAGAGGCAGGTGGATCTCTGTGAGTTCGAGACCAGCCTGGTTTACAGAGCTAGTGCCAGGACAGGCTCCAAAGCCACAGAAAAACCCTGTCTCGAAAAACCAAAAAAAAAAAAAAAATCAGGAATCTTTGTGTATAATATTGTTAACCTCTTGTGTATAATATGCTATGCAGCCAATCCCACTAGGGCAGCAGTCTTCAACAAACTCACCATGACAGTGTCTAGAAACCACAGAACCTCAGCCCACTGAATTGTGGTTTTGTCGTTTTGTTTTTTTTTTTTATTTTGAGATAGGGTCTCCCTATATAGCCAGAGGTGCCCTGGAGCTCACTATGAGACCAGCTGGTTTCAAACAGAGATTGGCCTGCCTCTGCCTCTTGAGTGCTAGGATTAAATGTGTGTGCCACCATGCCCAACATTATTTTTTATTTTTTTGGATTTTTCGAGACAGGTTTCTCCGTAGCTTTTGGTTCCTGTCCTGGAACTAGCTCTTGTAAACCAGGCTGGCCTCGAACTCACAGAGATCCGCCTGGTTCTGCCTCCCGAGTGCTGGGATTAAAGGCGTGCGCCACCACCACCCGGCCCCAACATTATTTCTTATTTTAACAGTATATCTTTTGGGGTTAAAGCAATAGCTTCTATGGGCACACAGGACACAGTATATCCTATGTATGTATGTATAAGCACACTGTACTATTGCTACTCATCAGCAACTTTATAATTTAAGCTTTGGGGAACTACAGGATTTAAGAGAGGCGAAGGATATATGTGCTGGGTTAGAATCTGTTAGGTACAGAATGGCAGTCAAGGGATTTAGGAAGATAATAAGGCCTGGCTGTAGGACAGCACGTGGGAATATGTTTTTGCATTGTGTTTTGAGTAATATTAGATGCCCAGATCTCAGAGGAGGAACAAAAAGAGACGAGCCCTAAAGAAGATTAGTGTCCAAATCTGTGCAGACCCATCTTCCAGTGCTGACTCTGGCAGTAACTTCTTTTTTGTGTTTGTTTGATTTTTGAAACCATTATCCTCTTGTCTCAGTTTTTAAATGTCTTTAAAAGTATCAGTTTTGGGGCTGGAGAAATGGCTCAGAGGTTAAGAGCATTGCCTGCTCTTCCAAAGGTCCTGAGTTCAATTCCCAGCAACCACATGGTGGCTCACAACCACCTGTAATGAGATCTGATGCCCTCTGGCATGCAAGTATATACAGGCAGAATGTTGTATTCATGAATAAATAAATAAATAAACCTTAAAAAAAAGTATCAGTTTTGCTGGGCAATAGTCGTACGTGGCTTTAATCCCAGCATTTAGGAAGCAAAGGCAGGTGAATCTCTGAGTTTGAGGTCAGTCTGGTCTTCAGAGTGAGTTCCAGGATAGCCAGGGCTCTCCAGAGGAACTCTGTCTCGAAAAAAATAATGTTTGGTTTGTCTTGGTTTTGATACAAAGTCTTTCTAATGTTGGTTTCAAATTCATGATCTTTCTGCTTCCGTTCCCAAATGTGCTGTTGTAGGCATATGCCACCAAGCCTGACTTGTTAGAGACATCTATAGATTAGATCAAGGAAATTCTATGATAATCTTCTCTTCAAATTGCCTGTAGTTAGATCTTAACAACTGACCTAAGATGAATTTAAGTAGGTGCGGTTCTCTGACCCCTCAGTCTCATTTCCAGAGTCTGTGAATTCTGCGGGACCTACAGATTGCCAGTGTTCCTCCTACAATATGAATTCTGTGGGACCCACAGCTTGCCAATGTTCCTCCTACAGTCTTGAGTTCTATGACACCTACAGCTTACCAGTGTTCTTCCTGTTTGAAGGAATTGTTCTTCTGATTTGATTTTTTTCTTAATTTTTATTTTTCAGTCCTTATTTATTTAGTACTTTTTTGTACCAGACATTGAGCTTTTAACCTACATTGTTAAAGGATTTTTATAGTTTGCCATAGATTATGGGTGTACAAACATGGAGATTGCACTAAGCCTCCTCTCACATCCTGGATAACATAGTCTTGACAGTAAAGACTCATTTCAATGATTATTACAAGAAGCCCTTAAAGAAGGGAAGGAGAAGAAAGGATGTGGTGACATTAAATTGGTATGTGAAAATAACATTTGAGGTCCACCATGTACTAAATACTTTATACTTGGTGTGCTTATATCTTATTGTTTGAGATATGCTCTGTGTAACCCTGGCTGGCCTGGACTTGTTATATAGACCAGGCTGGCCTTGAGTTTAAGGGATCAGCCTGCCTTTGCTAGAAGTAAAGGCCATTATGCCTCAGGGTACATGGCGTAGTCTTTCTGTCATTGAGATAAATAGATTTAACAAAAGTAGCCTGCATTATATAGAAAACAACAAAATTTTAAAAACAAACATACTATAAAATCACTTGAATGTCTTTTCCAGTATAAAATTTGAAACTAGACATTTTTGTTTTCACTTTGTATCGTTAGACAAAACCTCAGCAGTTGGCTACAGGTCACAAGTCTCCTGAGACAGACCTTGAACTTGTAGCCCTACTGCTTCAGACTTTTTTTTTTTTTTTTTTTTGGTTTTTTGAGACAGGGTTTCTCTGTGGTTTTGGAGCCTGTCCTGGAACTAGCTCTTGTAGACCAGGCTGGTCTCGAACTCACAGAGATCCGCCTGCCTCTGCCTCCCGAGTGCTGGGATTAAAGGCGTGCGCCACCACCGCCCGGCTGCTTCAGACTCTTGAGAGGCTAAAATTACTGGCCTATGTCACCAGGTCCAGCTCAGTCACTAGAATGGTTTAGAATGTTTGTTTCTTTGACCTCCCCTTTAAGGACAAAGACAGTGTGGTGCCTCTGCATGGTATTGGAAGAGTCAGGATTTTTCTAGGATCCTGAGATAGTAGTACTTTTTAAAGAAGTTTAAACATATGAAGAAATAGGGTTCACTACAGTGTGTGTGATTGATCTTTGTTCTAGTTTATCCCTGCCCTTCCCTGCCCCCTCCATCCTCCCTGCCCCTTCAGGCTAGTTTCCTCCCTCCTAAAATAACTCCATCTTCTGCTTTCATATCTTATACAGTCTATACCATGCCACGATATTGTTACTCCCACACTTAAGATCTGTGTACCCTCCGTGGTCTCTTAAGCATTTCCTTTTGTTTAAGACATGATCTCATGTAGTCCAGGCTGGCCTCAAGCTCACTATGTAGCTGAGGTAGTTTTTGATCCTTCTGCCCTCCTCACAAGTATTGGGATTACAAGTACCACGATGCCAGGCTGAATTCTTTTTTTCTCCCACTATTTTAAAATGTTATGTGTAAAAGTGTTTTGCCTCGGTGTATGGATGTATATTACATGCATGCCTGGTGCCCATGGAAGTCAGATGAGGACATCAGATCCTCTGGAATGAAGTTACAGATGGTTATTAGCCTCTTTCTGTTGGTGTTGTGAAACAACCAAGGTCCTCTGAAGAGAACAAGTGTTTTCAACTGCTGGGCTACCTTCCTAACTCCTCAGGCTGTAGCTCTCAATGATA